CAATAAGTTTGGTATCAAACTATAGATTATAATTCAAATTTTAGTACTGTATATTACTCAATTTATTAATTTAAAAATAAATATAAAAATACACAGATAAACTGATTTTCGTGTCACGTGGAATGTTGAATGCAGCACTGGTTCAAATTAAGCATTTGTGAAGTCAAAATACTAAGTCTATTGTTTCATGTGAATTAGAAACTCAAATTACCAATATTGACAAGCTAGAATATAAAATAAGGCTTATATTTTCTATTTGCTAAGATATTGCTCATGTAATAAATCAAACACAGTGGCACCCACCTCTTTCATTTTTGGAAATGCTTCCTTATATACACTTTCCTCTATATATGACATGAATAAACAATCAGAAGCTCAGAATGTCCCCCCAGTAGCTTTCTCAGCCATTTTAAATTCTTAGAATGCCATTTCCTTCTTTTGAACCAAGATATCAAGGTTGTAGGGTGTCTTTAGTCTCCTCAAAATTTAATATTTTTTTTAGACCAAAATACAGCTTAGTTACCAAGCTTTATAAATTATAGTAAAATTCTGTGGTATTGATGTAGTAATTTATGATTTTTTGGTAATTCAACTGTACCTACAAGGCCAAAAAAATGTTTCAAATCTTCCACGTGCAAAATTTGAAAAGGCTTGACAGCCTACATCAAGCAGCAACTGAGTACAAAGGTCATAACTAGAAGAGATAATTGTTTGCTTTACTTTGTTATTTACTGTATGTTTGAAGAAAAATAAGTTTAAGAACTTATTTCTATACAGCAATAATATATATATATATATATATATTGTATAATAATTGAAATGTGAATGTATTTTACAAAATACTAGTCTACTAAAACACGGCAAAGACAGGTCACTTTGTAGAGACTAAAGGTCAGTTTTATATTATTGGATATGGTAATGAATACATGTGCACCGCATCACTGTAACTTCTGTATTGTTAGCCAGGCATAATTTAAAGGTCAATATAAAGTTATGAAATTTAAGCTATCTAGTCTAAACATTTATGCTTTCGTGTTATATTATGTAGTCATTCTAGAACGAAAAAGGCATAACTTGTATTTATTTCATTATTTTTTTAACATGATTATGAGATTGGTCAAACCCATACAGAGATTCATTACTGAAAATAACAGATAAAATATAGTTTCTTTTCTTATGAAACTTTTGACAACTATTTGGACATTATGAAAATTTTGCATGTGAAATTCTAAAATTTTCTGATGTACAAAAGTATTTTTAATCTTGAAATAAATTATTTTGCATGATAGATAGGCAACATGTGAAAAGAAAAAAGGCATGAGAAAAACATTGCTTTACAAACCTTAAGACTTAAAAAAAATGATATTTTGTATATGAAAGCATCATAATATTTACTGATAATCTGCGAAATTTTTGTAACATTTTCTTGCTGATATAAAAGATATAGCATGGAGCACAAAATGGTTATAAGGTCGGTCCCAGGGACCAAGCCCATGCTGAAAGAGTTAATAGCTTTGTCATAATTGAAGCTGCAAACATATATGGAGATATTGAAATTGAGTTCAAGACCTTCAAAAACATGAGCCCAACCTCTGTATTTGTCAGGTTCAGAGCTGAATTAAACTAAATTGATAAACAAAAACAACTTGCAATTCTAAAAAATGGGTTTTGATACATAATAGGCAGAGCACAGGTAGCATATTTTGTAGCCTAACAACAATCAGTGTTCAATATTTTGATTCCTCAGATAGTTGGAAGACTTAAAAGCCTTAATTTTGATAAATTGCTTATTTTTGTAAGTCTTAACACTAATAAATTAAAATGAACAAACTTCAATTAACAAAAATTGTAATGGTAATATTTTGATTAGTTGATTGTTTTTGTGACATTAATAGAGCTAATCTTCCAGCTCTGCTTATACATACAATGAATGTCAAATAGTCATTGCTAACATGATTGTTTGCTACCATGTGGCTTGGAATGAGAGGTAGCGTTATGGTTCTGTAATCTACATTCTGAGAGAAAACTGTTGTGCTGTCACATGATTGAAAACAGTCAATCGGCACAACTGTAACTTTAAACACAGCCCTTACGAAATTTGCATGCTTTATATCTTGCCTAACTAACTTGCACAGAAGTTATATTAGCATGGTCGTATTTAGTGTTAGCTATGTTATAGATATTGCATCTGATGTTTTAAAATAGGAAGCTGTATTTTATGATTTTGTAGACATTTTTTCTTAGAACCACTCGTGGGTAGAAATTACGAGAAACAACACCTGTAACAATAGAACTGTTGAATTATTTCAGATTAAGGGAATTTGAATGTCTAAAAATTGTGGGTGTAATGAATAGTTACCTTGGATATTTGTGTAATGGGAAAAAGAATTAAGTAGGATTGCCAAAGCAATGAAACTTAGAAAATCTGAAGACATTTAAAGTAAATTGCTATTATTACATTACTTTGCAATATCTGGTGAACTTTATAAGTGTCAACATGTAATATCTTAATGAAAAAGAAGGGATGACTTAGTCTTCCTAGGCAATCCTTGCTCACCCACTTTTGAGAAAAAATAAATATTTAAACATTATAGTTTTCAAGAAATCAATTGTTTAACTCCTGTAGTGTGAGCTTCTACTCCGCTACTGCCAATGGTAATTCTTTACATAAGAAAGTCTAAGTTTCTTTGTTTTTTTTAATTATCACTGAAGATTTAGCAGAGAAGAAAAAGTATATCTACATTGTGAAGTCTTTTTGTTTTACAGCAATGCATGACAAGTTTATAAACGTAAAGCAGTCCAGGTGGTAGAAGTGTTGCATACAGAATACCCAGAACTTCAAGTAGAGATGAATCCAACCAAACCTAGAAAAAATAGCTTTGAGATTACTCTAGTCAAAGAGTCTGGAGAGGAGATGCTTTTGTGGTCTGGTATCAAGAAGGGTCCACCTCGCAAGTTGAAGTTCCCAGAAGATCCCAAAGAGGTGGTCACCATTCTCAAGAAATCCCTATCAGCTTAATGAATAGATTAAAAATGACTTGAGAATGGTGCACTACCTCTATGTCATTACTGTAGGTATTATTTAACCCAAATATTATGTATATTTAAACTAAATTGAGAAATGTATTTCTGTTTAGTTTTTTTTATTCAAGGGAATGACAGTTTTTGGTCTGCATACCTATGCCATACTTGTTGACAGTTCTAATAATTTTTCTGCTAAATGCAATAATCATAATCTCATAAATTGTTTTTTTATTTTTTTTTTACTGAAAATGGACAGCATCTAACAATTAGTTTAAATACATTATTGAAAGCTTGTGAAAATAATACAATGGATAATTGGAAGTTTATAGACTATTTGGTTGCTACTGGCTGCCAAATTAAAATTACCTCACTAATTATATACAGATTGTAATTTGTCTAGAACAATTCCAGATGAACATAATAGATTTTAATATAGATTTGTAAGAGAAAGAATCCATTTATTGATTGAAATCAGATCTGAGCTAAAATTGTACTATAATATTAATAAACATTTGTGGGTTGTATGGAACTGTTATTTACGTAAAGTGCAATCCAACACAAAAAAGTTGAACTTTATTTCATTGTTTTGATATAACATGATTTTCACTATGTTCTTCCCTCAGGTAACAGTGCATCAGATAAATTACGTCGCTAACAGTTTAGATGTGAGTACCAATGAATGGTGGGAAGTAAAGGAAAATTTACCTGTTTCCAATCATGATGTCTGCCACATATAAACATGGAGCCACAGGATTTTCATGATGCTTTACCTTACTGTCTCATCCTGAACATGATGGTCCATATATTCATTTTCTCAGTTCTTGATGCTCATATTTAAAAGTTTTAATGTGTTAAACATGCTAAGTAAAAACTAGCATTAGGTTTTTTGATGATTTGTCATTTTATTGATGGACATTATTAGCATTTCTTTTAGTGTTTATATGGTCTTCATCTTGTGAAATTTCCCCCATTTTCTCTTTGTGATTTTATAAACACTGTAAGTTACCAGTTCTGTAATAAACATTTTACTACAAAACATACTTAAACTGATCTTTATATATATTTTGCCAACCAGATTTTGCTTAACATCATAACAAATAATTTGAAAGTTAGTTGTGTCATTGTTTAAACCAAATTAATAAACAGTGCTAACTTAACGTTTCAATAAATAAAATATACATTACTTGTACTTAACTAATTTTTATTTCCATAACAATTGAAACATGTGAAGCCCATAAAAAAAATAATTGATATCACATTCTTTACCTAATGGTTCATAAGTGTTTGAAAAAAAGAAAATACTTGTTTAGCTATTTTACTTTTGTCACTAAACTATGCTACTCAAGGATTGTTATTTTCAGGATTCACAGTACATTTTGGAAATGTACAAAGTTACAATTAGATATAGCACATGAGCTGGTTAGTTTTCCCAAGGGTTTTGAAGTAGGTCGGATATCAGATATGCAAGTCTTTTTCATTCTTGGTAGAGATTGGGTAGGCGCCCATCGACTGGAGTTTCTTATATTACTCCTACTTTTAAATGGACTAATAATAGTACTCTGAAAATTATAGGTCTGTCAGTTTTATTCTTTAGTGAAAAAAATTCTAGTATGTTAAAATAGCTTTATTTTCAGTTAGTGTATATAATTAAAGAGAGCTAGCATGGAATCACCAAATAAAAAATTTACTAACTGCTTAACTTTTTCAAGAATATTACTTTGTTTGAATGATGGGAAATACAGACTTCTTGTTCTTAGCTTTTCAAACAGCTTTTGATAGTGCTACATAATACTAGCTAAGAAAATCACTTTAGTTAAGTCTGCTTTAATATTTTTTATAATGAGAATGTATAAAAAATAATATATTTCACTGTGTACAAAAAATGTTTACAAGATGTGTACATGTATATCTAAATGGAAAATTTTCCCAGTCAGACACAGCTTGGCAGGTTTTTGAAGGCAAAACTACTTGATACCAAATTTTTTCATTTCTTCTAACCTGATATATGAACCAGATTGCAATGTTGAAGTAATTGCATGATATTAATAAGAGATATTACACAGTGTTACCACAAACTTGTAAAGCTGTCCAATAACTCAAATGCACCATAAAAGTCAAAAATGTTTTTAAACAGAAATGTTCACTTGTGAAAAGAAATTTCATTCATATCTAAACATAAAGTAAGTATGGTGAATTTACTTAAAGCTCCCTAAAAATAATTTACAAATAGAATAAAAGGCATTACTTCAGGTTATTATAATTGTTACTTATAACTGAAAATAATGTGATGAGATTAGCAAGTTTTTGAAATAACTTAATTTCATTTAACAGGAAAATCTAAGATAACCAAATAGATTGCTTTTATTTCATAACTAACACAAGGGCCTTTTTTAGGATGTAAACAACACATACAAATGGAGGGAATAGGCCCTTAAATGATGACTGCATCAGTGTTTTGAAGGTTATGAGATGGCAATGTTTTAATCCCTTTGCTCTTCTCTAAATTTCCACCTTATAAAGTTTATAATGTTAAAAATGTGTTTTCTATACCTGTGAAGGGCAGAGCACAGAGCCCATTGTGTAGCTTTGTGCTTTACAATAAACTAATTATCCCAAACATTTCTAGTATCATGTTTTGACTCATTATCCCAGTTCATTAATTATAAATCTTGTCTCATGGTCCTAGAATTGGTTTTATAAAAATTAGGAACTAAACTTTTTGTATTATTTTGATGTGTAGAAAAAATTATGCAATGGTCAATGTTACCTCTCACTTTAATTCTTGCAACCATATCCTCATTAGTGGTTAACCATACGTCTAAAATGACATCCTCCCTTGGTTAGCTCAAAAAAAAAACCCCTTTATCAATAAGCTCCGATTACAAACAAATTTTAATAATCTAATATAATAGTCTTCCAATACAACTGGAGATTTGAGGAGCTTGCCTGTTATGTTTTTGTTCTTAATACTTCTAATAATAGGAACTAAGTTAATTATATATTCTTGATTGTATTATATTCATCTTTAAATCTGACAGACTTGTCTTTAAAACACTTACTTTTGTTATGATCTAAAACTCCTATTTCCAAATTTCCTATTGCTCTAGTTATACTATGTACTTGTTTATTCCCATTCTTTCTTTCAACTACAGAACAGTGCTGTATTTAACACCTGCAATTCTAGTTATTTCTATGAAAGTGTTAGGTAATGCTTGAAAATCTTTTAACAAGATGTTGGATTATTGAAACAATCACTAGAGAGTGACACAATATGTACTGTTCGTAGCCACTTGTTGCAGTTAATACGTTTACTTTGATTTTCTATCTTCCGATCTTGAACTTTTGGCATAACACCCAAAAGCACCTTTTGATTTCTGATAGTGCAAGTTTTTCGAATATTTATTAGTTATTAGAATAACTTATGATAAAATCTCAACTACTTAAGCAAAAATAGAAACCTGTGATAGATACAGTGTTAAATGTCTCAATGCTAAACTTGTCCATAGATCTTCAATATTGAGATGACTGGCTCACCTCATCCCATCGAGGTACAGAAGACCATGAAGAGTTTTTATTTCCAATTTGTTTCTAGAAGCAGCATCAGCAGTCCGATAATATGCAAACTCAACCTTCTGAATATAAATGTTGTACACTTTATAATTGTGTTGATATGCAAGCTTTTACCATATATTTATTACCCCATTAGTTAATATATACACCCAGTGGTCACAAGTAAATAAACACCTAATTTTTCGTCATTTAACTGATTTATG